GTATATTAAATGGTTATAATAAAAATTATTAGGGAACATACGTGTATGTAGGTATGTTAATGTTAGGTCAAATATCGCTGCGCTATAGTGTGCTACCATCTCCTTTATTAGACGTCCTAGATATTTCATACCATGGACTATATATATAATTCAAAGTGTGATCACTGTTTGCCTCCTGTAAACCGATTCTGGGTCGTAAACCAAACATATTTTGGAAGCGCAGTGCAGACACATAATTGACAAAACTGGAAACGAGGTGACAGCAATGAAGCTGATGTTCTATTGTGTGCGGTAATTACATAATCAAAGTATATTCTATCTGCTATTTTTCAAGGGACTTAGACGCGCTTTTTTGTGCGTTGGCCTGCCCCCCCCAAACTAGTTGGTGATGTGAATTTTCATATCGGTTTCTATATCTTTACACTGGTCAATGCCTGATCAGAAGTTTTTATGAATTAAATCAAAAACTTGACCATGTTTCGAGGAAATGGAGACGAAGTGGCTCAGATAATCGGAGTTGCCTCCATTTTGGTCTGTTACGCGTTACAGCCTCGTTTTGAACAGACCACTCAGTCAAACACCCTGAATTATATCACGCACAACAGATTTTATCTGAACCGAGAATTGAACCAGGTGTAAAAGCGATAGTTGTAACATTTGCTCGTTCAAACAGAGCCATAGCGGATGGACTAAGAATATTAATATTGACGTTGCCTACAACATGCATCTCATTTATGTACTGACCCATATTTATAGAAAGAATAATATTTTGAATAATTTCAATTATCTGCAATTCTAGGAACACTGGAGTTGGTCTGTCGTCTGCAGTCTGTTACAGTGCTGCAATGATAGCGCCCTTCACCGCCGATATTGTGAGTACTCATTAACATCAAATTGTAAAAATCTCTATATACCTGTTATGATTCAGTATTCTACAGAGAGAACTTACAAAGTAGCTTACGAGATGCGGATCTACGAGACACTGGACCTGAGTGTTAGAGCATTGACGAAGCTCTCTTCTATGCAGTGGTCACATTTGCTCTGACCGGCGATCGGCCGATGAGTATTTTGTTCAAAACTGAATGTAATTTTGAACGAAATACTCATCGGCCGAGCGCTGGACGACGATACTGAAAATCAGAGCAAATGTTACCATGGCATTAAAGAAGCAATATCAATCTATTCGAAGTGGAAGATTGGTTTTGCAAGACAGTAAACGTAATATTCATAATCTTCGCTGTAAATGCATGCAATACTTTATTCGCCCAATGTGATTAGGAAATCCTCCAATAATTTTAAAAACAATAATTTTTGGCAATCCAAGAATTTCAATATTTCTTATTGCAGACAAAGGTTTTCAAATACTTCCCCGGTGTTGTGTTTGGTGGTTTGTCTATCGCAGTAGGAATTTTTGCCCTGTTGTTGCCAGACACACGTCTCAGGCAACTTCCTCAAACCATTGACGACATTCGGAGATGGCAAGAGGCTAAAGAAAAGCATGGGATACATCGAATAAATGCTTGTTGGAAGAAGTCTTCATCGTACGCGGGAGAGGACGTTGGCAAATGAAATAAATCAGAAGTGTTTGTTGAATGGCAAACTGTCTGTATAAACACTAATTTCAAAGCATATCGATGGTGCAAAGTGGACATAAAGAATTTCAGTCAAGATTTCTCAAGATTTTCAACAATTTAACGGCAGTCAAGATTGATTACATACCCGGGATTACATAGTTTCCACAGTGGCCCTGGTTCCGAAAGAGCTCGGGAGCATACCTTCAGCTTCTCAGCTTCAGTACCTTACAGTTTCAGTTCAATCTAGCAATGACAAATGCCCGTAGAAGTTAAAGCGGGCAAGATTATGGAGATGGATGATTTACCGTGGCCTTCATAAGCAAGAGTACAGTCTTGACTAGCAGCATTTATACGTTGTGCCCTCTGGTGGTATTAGGTTGACGCCCTCTCCGTTACACTCACAATCATTGCTGCACGACTTGGACTGTTTACAAATTGCAGGATCGGTTACATCTTTAAGAGGACAGCTACCAGGGACAACAGCTTAAAGATAAAAGCATTATTTTTAAAATGTTAACATATTTTAATAAAAATGAATATTTCAACACAACATTCATTTTCTTGATGAGGTCGTGTAATATGTTGTCTAATATTTCAAAGAACATGTTTCACCAAAATATCAAAATCATAAATTCTTGTAGAAATTAAAATAACATTTAGACGGCGTTGGCTCTGTACTTCAGATATATTTCACGTTTTAGAAAAATTAAGTTGAGTTTACATTACCATTTTCAAGACGTCTTAGGAAATAAGACCTAAATCGTCTTAGAGATATGTAGGTATACATGTAAAATGAAAAAAGCAGTTCAGTACTGGTTGAAGGACGGTTCAGTCAATATAGCTATTCCTTTCCTGCTTCTATACTTTGTACTAAAGAATGCATCGGTTTCAGAAAAATACGTCCTAATTATTATTATATCTTTATTTTCCCATTATTCATGGAGTGTTTTTAACGTAATTACATGTTAACAGATTCAATCGGAGTTTGTTTTGCTACTTTTTACAAAAGTGGTAGTTATTTACATCATTTATACATTTATGATGAGCAATAGGCTCTTTTACCTTATATTATTATTACTTTACATGTTGTAATCTGGAAACGTAGGAACCAATGAGATTCCGTTTACATATACTGATTTGTGGCAAAATTTTACTTAATGCTGCTATTTTGTCGCTTGTGTCTTCCTCAACGTCGCGGGGGTCACATACTAAGTCGTGCATGGTCATACCTGTGCAGACAGCATCGCAGCAACATTGAAAGAGTAAATGATTTACTGTATCTTGAAATAAATTTCCGCATTTTTCACATAAATGATTGGTTTCTTTGTCTACAGGAAGTGCTACTAGTTTCGCCAGTGTGTAACAGTATTCTAATAGATGCGGATGTTTTTGACCAGTAGTCCATATGATATTGTTTGATAATTCGTCTTTGGCCAACCTTAGTGTGCTTGTGGTAGTTTCAACATGTATTCGAACGTTATTTTTACAAATCAATTTCCATAGTTTTGTTGGGGGAAAATACCCGTCATCTAAAAATGTTTCTAAGTATTCATTTAGACTGTACTTCTGAAGTATGTTCTGGATATCTGGTATGAAACCTTTTTGTTTATGAGAAACATTTTCTGTTCTGCATAGATGTGCACGAAATAAGAAAATGTTCTTTGTGACAGTGTTGCCCATGTTGCAGATTCGCCCAAGTAAGGATAATTTTCTTAATTCAATAATTTGAAGAATGTCTTTACAGTTTAAAAGTCCAAGCACAATATCAGTCTTCGTGCATCTGTATAGGCCTTGCAAACGCTTAAGGATAAATCTATAGGCCCGTTGTAACACTGAGCACTGGGAGGCTGTTAATTCATTCCATAGTTCGCAACCATGTAGGGCGGAAGGGATACACATAGTGTTAATGAGCTTCAAGCCAGTTAGAGGATTTAGACCTTTTGGGTGAACCCCAACTCCAACGAGTGAAGCGAAAGTTGTTTTCAAGGATGAAGCTGCTCTATCTACAGCTTTATTCAAACTGAGATTTGAATCGTATATGTTACCAAGGTGTTTGAGTGAAGATACTTCAATTCATCTCCCTCAGATGACATCCATTTGCGTTTTTGTATCAATTGGGAATTTTGGTGTTTAGACTCACCGAAAGTGATAACGTTGGATTTTTGCAGATTAAAAACAAAACGCCATTTCTTAGAATAGGCTATGGCACTTTTGATCAGCTTATCAAGGCTAAACTTAGTGTTGGCCAGAATAGAGATGTCGTCGGCGTAAGTTGGATTTCCACATAATATGGTACCCATCTGTGTGCATATATTAGAGCGTTCTAAGTTGCATAATAATTCATCTATGTACACTGTGTAGAGCCAGCCAGCAAGAATACTTCCCTGACGGATAGATTGCTTTACAGGGAACCAACTGCTTATGTTGCCCTTAAAAATAATGGCACCCTGCATTCTTGAATACAGCTTCCTTAGGATGTGCCATAGTCTACCTGTTACTCCAATGTTGTAAAGTTTGAAAAATAGGCCATCGTGCCACACCGAATCGTAGGCCCGGGTACTGTCCATACATGCCATGAATGTCTTTTGGTTTAGTTCATTTTGCTGATTGCTGTTTAAGTACTTGCAATTGGTTCTGGTTTCACTCTCAAGTAACCGTTGTCTAACTAGCTTTTCCCATAACTTTTCCAAGGCAGGTAGTAACGTAATGTCTCTGTAATTTTCCTTCGCTAATCTAGATTTTGCTCCACCTTTGTATAGCTTAGATATTATTCCCATGGAAAAGACTTCCGGGGGATTAAGAGTGGACGTGATCATGTTAAATAGTACGACCAAAAGCTGGACTAAAACTGGCCCACCATAGATTAAATGTTCATTGGTTACATGGTCGAAACTCATTGCTTTTCTTTTCTTGAGGTTCCTGATTGCAAGGTTCACTTCCTGTTCAGTAAATGGTTTCTCAAGAATTGGATCAAATGAAGGCAGTGGCTCGGATTCAAAGTCTCTGATCTGTCTTTCGATTTCAGTCTTAAAATTTCCATCAAAAGTCGAGCAAAATGAAGTATCGAAAATGCTTTTAGAGTAATCGGCGAAAGCATTAGTTATCAGTTTAGGGTCTCTGATAATATTATTGTCTACTTTTAACTCCTCGCAAGAGGCCACAGTGTGGCCCTTTCTGCGTTTCATTATCGACCACATGAGTTTTTGATCTGTTTCTGCGGCAGAATCAATTTCTGCGTACAATGAAGCTGTCCATTGTGCTATTGCTTCTGCTTGTGCCTTCCGAAAGAGCTTTTTGGATGCTTTATAGTTCTTGTAGGTTGGGAACTCGATGCCTCTAGGCTTGCCGTTGAGCAACCACAGGCGTCTGGCATGTTTTTGATCTTTGTAGAGTTGTTTTATTCCATTGAGCTTCCAGTAAGGTTTCAAGAAGGGTCTGAATTCCTTGTGTGGAACACATTCATTGCTTGTAGTTATAAGGTTGTCTGTGATGATGTTGTTTAGGATGTCTGTATTTAGTATGTGACCCTCGCGTGCGCTAGTTAAGACTCTTTCAAGCTTCACTGAAAGGGAAGAAGTATAAATATTAATTTCTTCAGAGGTTAATTTGGACCAAGCCAGCACGGGACTCTTTAAAAAGTTTACGTTTGTCTCAGTTTCTTTTATGATTAGGGAAGCTGAGACTGGTAGATGGTCGGAATAATCTAAGCAATCATCTTCAATGATATTACATGATGATGCCCAATCTAGTTTGTTTTCTGGTAAAACAATATGATCAATTAAGCTACAGGGTGACCCGTTTTTAGGCACACAAGAATACAAAGGTCCAGTGCAAAATTCCAATGCGTTTAAAGGTGACATTTCTGACTGTTTGAGAAACTCGTTGAAAATTAGTGCTCTTTCAGATAGTGCTCGTTTTTGGGATCTTGCACTATTAACATGAGCATTACAATCTCCTAAAATACATACGTTTCCTTGCATTGAATAATACGCATAAATGTCATGAAGTTTATCAAGATACTCTCTATAACAACTTATGTGTTGATTACTTGCTGGTAGGTAAACAGAAAAAACATACAAACGAACACAATTGCTAATGACCACTTCTATACCCACGATTCTGTCGCATTCAATGCTAGTTAACCTTGTGATCTGTGCATTTAGATTGCGTTTCCAGACGAGGGATACTCCTCCTTTACCTCTTCTGAAGGAGTTGAATGGATCTAGGGAAGCATCAGATCTGGAGAAAGATTCATATTGATTGTTAATACTGTCTACAAAATACAAATTGTCATTAAATAACTTGTGTTCTGAGATTGCACAAATGTCTATGTCATAGTTACTCGAAACATTATCTAGAGCAAGAGCAGATTGCATGACACCGTCAACATTCCATGATAGTAAGTTCAGCTTCATTAAAATAGCACTAAAAATGTATATCTTGAATAGAAATATCAGATGCTTCATGAGCTTAGTCAACACAGTCATTGATCTGAGATGTGTGATGCAATTTAGTGTCATTGCGATGGCCATAAAGATGGTTTGACACCCAAGGGCGGCACGTTACTCCAGCTGGCCAAAAATGATTTTGCTCGAGTAAGTAAGAATCTTCAAAGTGGACATTAATTTTAGCAGTCATGCCTCTAGGGTTTTTTGAGCTTACAAATCTGAAATGAGTTATTCGTGCCCCCTTGGTTGTCACGTGATTTCTAATGGCTGATTCGGTGACTCTGTGGTCGATGCCTTTTAAGTGATAACGTTTGGTCTTAAGGCGAGAAACACCAATAAAGCCAACGACTGACTCATTTATGTTTTCTTGTGGGGATGTGGCGTCGACGCTTGTCGAAGAAGAGGTTGATTGCTCCTTTTCTATGAGAGGAGTGAAACGGTTCTCCCATGGAGACTTCTTTGTAGTCGGATTCTTTGGCCTGATATATGTTTCCGCTTCTATTGGTCTGGATAGATTTTTGGGGTTCACGTTCTCGTGACTGCTTGAATAAGCGATGGATCGTAGTCGTGACCCAATGTCTTTCGTCCGATTTCCGATTGAAGAGTCTTGGGGTGTGTGATCATTGGTGGTTGAGGACGAAAATGGGCCCCGAGAGACTGTCAGGAAAAGATTCTTTTTGCGTATCACTGCGCTTTTGATCTCGGTAGCCTGCCGTCCGTGATGGCGTCGTCAATGGTTTGACTGCATTGTTAAAAGCATGAAAGAGAGCAGGAAGATTTTATGCATAAATTAGCTAGGATTATGATAAATCGCCAGGCAAATAAGTTCTCAATAATTTTGGGATGATATTGGGAACAAGGGATAAGACAAAATAAAGGACCATGCATGCGACATATGTAAATGGAAAGTTTCAAATGTTTCGTTCAGCGCAACGCAAAATCCGGGCTAAGAGCTCTTAGCTAATACCGATGGATTTACACTCGCTTGTAAAACGTTTTAACGATAAAACTTCTTGGCTATGACTAGGGTCCTAAAAAGTTTTAGCCAAGTGCTCTTAGCCGAGAGCTCTTGAGTAAATCTGGATTTACATTACATTTGTAAAACGTTTTAACGCTAAAATGTTTACTTGCCTCTCCCATGGCCTGGGGGACTATTTTAAGTCGCCTATTCTATAAGGTCGTAGTTTACATTTATGAGCATGTCGTGATTACAAAATTCGAATTCAAACAGCCTCCATTTTGTTCACCTCAACATTTGAATCTTGAATTGAATCAACGTTTTCATTGTTGGAAAATATCGAGTTTTGATCCCGGGAGCCAACCCCCCTTGGCAGATGACCGTTACTAACGACGGAAACGCATTGATGACGAGGCTCATATTTTCAGTATTAGTTTGAGTATAGTAGCTTGGTCCTGACCTCGACAATGAATGTGATATTGGGTCTAAGATGGCGCCCCGCATCACTCTTGCCCGTATCCAGCTTGTGGCAAGGGAGAGCTTTTTGGCTTAAAACTCCCGAAAAGTGCTCAGTATGATGAAAAACTGAATGATTTTGAAAAAATTTCAAGCCAGGTAGCTTCTTCCCGTGGTATGACTTGAACACGCATCAAGTCATGCGATCTATGTCAAATAGTAAGCGGCCTCGTTTGGGGGTCCAGGAAGACTAGTGATTCAAGTACATATTCAGTAGATATCGGGTCGGTATCAACGTTTCGTTGTGGTTTATTGGTTGTGCCTGATTGTGTTTTAATGGGTTGAGTAAATCGATTGAGTATTTGGTTAAGCCTGGTTATGTAATGGTGTGTTAGTGTCAAGTAGGTATAGGTTTTGCCGAATTGTGTTGTGTACGTTTGAGACTCGGTTCTCTTTTGATGGTTGTTAGTCTGGTGATTTAGTATTGGGTTGTGTCCCATTGTGTTATGTTAATCGTATAATGGATTGCTTTCTCTTGTGAAGATGTTATGTTGGTTGGCTAGCTGGTTGTGGCTAGTCGGGTGAGGTATCTTGTTGTGTTTGATTGTGTTGTGTGATTGGCGTTGTCTCCAATTGGGTTAAGTTAGTTGTGTATCTCGGTTTCACAATTTTAATGTGTTTTTTGCCTGTGTCTGATTTTGTTTTGATTGTTTGGTTTGGGGTTTTGAAAAATTGTGTTGTGTTGCTTGAACAACAGGCTGTGTTTGCTTTTGTTGGTTTACCATTGGGTTGTGCCAAATTGTGTGGTGATAATTTCACAGTTCGATGTGTTTTCATGATTGTTAGTTTAGTTGTGTTTTATCGGTTGTGCCTGATTGTGTTTTTATTGTTTAATGTTGGATTGTGCACAGTTGTGTTGAGTTAATTCAACAATTGGGTGTGTTTGTCTTTGTTGTCTTATTATTGGGTTGTGACATATTGTGTTAATCTGACAGTTGGTTGTGTTTTGGTGGTTGTAAGTCAGGTTGCGCTATGCTGGCTTTGGTGCTGGGTTATGCTCTATTGCGTTCTGTGTATTTTGGTTGTGGTGTTTATTGGGTTAAGAAACAAATGGCCGGTTTAGGGTATTATGTTGTTGGTTTATCAGTTGATTCTGTGTAGACCCCAAAGGGGATATAGGGTATTATGATGGTGAGATATTCAACTGGTATGATAGGCGTTAGCTTCACGTCGTTCACTGATGAGCTGGTCCCCTGTTGTTCAATGAATTCAAGAAAAACAATGCTAATTTATCGTTTTACATAATATATTTTTTGTTGATTTCTCATACAAAACATACTTTTATTGCATAAATGATATATTTGTGTTGCTTTCAATGATCAAATATGTTCCTTTGCTCCCCTCCTTAGTTTATATGAGGCATGGGTTTTCAACTAAAGCCCATGTATGAGGAAAATGGGGTGGCTTATGTGAAAACGTATGGTTTCCGAATGCCTTGGCCTTGCCCAAGTCGCTATTTTTTTTAATTATTTGATCTTGAATTATTACCAAAATATACAGCTGCAAAAACATGAAATTAAAGGTCCATGTGCAGTATGGCAAGTGATTTTAGAGATGTTTTAGAGATGTTTTGTGGCATAATGCAGTCACTGCACGTCTGTTTTTAAACCCTTAAATATTCCCAAAAGTATAATTTGACACTGGATTGGTTATTGTAAACCTTGAAATAATCTTTTCTGGACTAAAGGATATTAATCATTTTGAAATTGATGTCATGAAATTAATAAATGACACCTTGGGGATGAAAGGGTTAATATGTATTTTTGCACTCACCAAAAATACTTTTTGAGTTGTGATTCTGAAAGCTGACACTCCCAATGGTGTTTTAAAATCTTAGTGCAGATGAAGCCATTTATTTGACCCTAGTTTTCACTACTATTAAACACGGATTGAGATGCGTTTATAATTACGTACTTCAAAAAACGAACTGCGAAACGAAAATTATCGAAATACGTATCCGTAAACGTATCGAGATACGGATGCGGATACGTTTTAGCTAATTCGTTTTGCGAAACCTCTCTATTATGTGGATGACTTAACCGACAGCATTAGGTCATTGGACAAGATTAATCTTAACTCCTTTACATCTTACCTTATGTTTAATATATTTTGTGGATGACTTAACCGACAGCGTTAAGTCATTGGACATGGTTAATCTTAACTCCCTTACATCTTACGTTATGTTTGATATAGTGGAGAGGTTAAGCTAACGATGTTTTTCACAACGTAACCGTGAACGCAAAGTACAAAAATTAACAAAGGAATGTGTCGAGCGCTCATAGTTTTATGCGCGCTTAGTCTACTTCAGATACTCTTTCAGCTTCAGAGTTTCGGGTTTAGAACGGGAGATTTTGAAATTTGACGTTGGGTCAACGGGAACCATTTTACTCGTGTCTATTGAACACTATGCTGTCAATTTTGATTTCGATGCACAGTTGAATTCTTGCTGAACACGATGATGTATGTCATGCATGATTTAGCGCCAAAAATCTTACGAAACGAGCTCGTTTAAAATATGTATTAGAAAACCAGCTATAAAACCGCATCAATGACATACTATAGAATCATTACACGCTATGGTGTAGTCTAAACAAACACTGGATTTGAACGGCTATTTATATGAGAAGGCTACATGAATTTGAATATGGTCGAGTGATACGTACAGGTTCAGTTTCGATTATATATGCAAAGCTTAACCTCTCCAGTATGTGGATGACTTAACCGACAGCATTAGGTCATTGGACAAGATTAATCTTAACTCCTTTACATCTTACCTTATGTTTAATGTATTTTGTGGATGACTTAACCGACAGCATTAGGTCATTGGACATGGTTAATCTTAACTCCCTTACATCTTACGTTATGTTTGATATAATAGAGAGGTTTCGCACAACGGGTTTGCTAAAACGTATCCGCATCCGTATCTCGTTACGTTTACGGATACGTTATTCGAAAATTTTCGTTTCGCAGTACGTTTTTTTAGCACGTAATCCACAAAACGTATCTCAAGCCGTGACCTTGACAATAACATTCATTTCCTGTGGAAGTAACACAACAGTTATATCTTCTCAAAAAGGTAAGATTTTGTTCACTCATGTCGTGTAATTTGGCAATATCGATTTATGTTATTTTGCCCCTCATATCATTTCGTGAACATAGAATAATAGTACATTCTGTCTCTAAACATGGGATAACATTGGAAGAAAAAACTCTGGATCATTTCCGGTGTCAAGAGTGAATATACTATAATCTCCCTGAATATATAGTCCCGGTGTGAAAGAAATTATGGTCCCCTGGGGATTATGGTCCCCTTTCCAAACGGCCCTTACTGGCCCTGATTGTGTATAAAATAATAAGGGAAAGAGTTGTGATTAGGTCACTATATAAATCAATGGAGAGTAGGACCATAATTTGATAGGACCTCCTACCCTTTTACACCGGGATATATAGTCCAAGGATGCATGTTACCAGACTATATTTTCTATGGTATACAATATAACTTCGAGGTATTTATACTGACGAACTATAGATACGTTGACAGCAGTCCCATCCCCATTCAGTACCAATCCTAAATAGCATACCCCATTCAACCAGCTTTGCCTCTTTTTAAGGAGTGATATTCGATTGTTTGGGAATTCTTTGCTAAAATATGATATCCTGATCCAAATATCAATTATATTTTCAAGTAATATTCGATCTATATCATTGTAACCATGGGGTAATAGTAGTTAGCCTAATTCACTATTTTATTTCATTCTAGTAGTGTGATCTTCGACAACTGTACATATGGCAGGCATTGACCCAGTCACCGCGGCCGCTATTATTGATGACAAGGATGACGAGGAAACACTCCTCCTATATCACTTATTTGAGGAAGATAGGCGTGATGGTATTAACGCATTCAGAATAAATCTGGAAAGTCTATCAAATGAAGAGTGCAGTCTCTTGTTTCGATTTGAAAAAGATGATCTATTCAGGATATCTCAGGTCATGGAGTTACCAAACGTATTCACTGGTTATAACCGATGTTCGTGTAGTGGCATCGAGGGCTTGTGCCTTTTACTTCGCCGTCTTGTGTACCCAAATCGACTGTGGGACATCAATGGGATGTTTGGTGTAGATCTGTCGACAACTTCAATTTTGATAAACACAGTGAACAACTACGTGTATGAACATTTTGGACCTCTTTTAACAGAGTTTAACCAGCCATGGATGACCATTCCAGATTTACAACGATATGCTCGCGCGATTCAGGCTAAAGATGCCCCTCT